AGGATGACCATCCCTGCTGTGCAGGCAAGGGAGCTAAAACAAAGAGCAGTAAAGGGATCACAGATTGGTCTGGGCAACTCCTGGCTCAGCTGTGACTGAGATGGGACACATTAAAAGTCCTGTAAGAAATCCCACCACAAAACTGCCCCCGGGGATGGGAGGTGATGGCACTGGACTCTGCAAAGCCAGATGTTCAGATCCAGCTTACTCAGGTGCTCCTTTGGCCACACATGGTGTCCAGCCAACAGGCAGGGAGAAAGCCAAGCCCTGAAAAACTTGGAGTGCTCAGGCCCTTGATGTAGGTGAGAAGCAATCAGTCCAAGAACACCCAAAACCTCTCCAGCACATTTTAATTAACGAGCTTGAACCCCATGAGCCAATTCCTTCCACGTGGCTGACTGGCAGATGAAGGAACCAGAGAGATGGACAACATGGGTGCAGGTACCACAGGGCAGCACTCATCTCCCAGCTGGCCAAGCTCCAGCTGCTCTCCAGAGAAGCTTTCCTTTGTTGCAGAGAAGCTTTGGAGATGCCAAGGGAGGAGGTAATTTTTGATGTGTCTTACTACTGCATGAGTAGGGGGTCTTCTAACCTGTTCTTCCTGGAAGATGCTACCAAGAAGAAAGAGGGGCTGACAGAGGGCTGTGAAGTGAGGGGAGAGGCTGTTTCAGTTTGGAGAAGGCACAGCAGAGCTCACTTTGATTTCCCCTGTGTAACACAAATACCCTCGTAAGCAGGAAGGGGACTGGTAACGACACAAAAAACCCACACTCAAGAAACTCCCACAGCAGAGCATCAGCAGGGGAAGCTTTAACCATCCCAACAGCCACAGCCACGCTCTCCCCCTCCCACCCCAACCATTCTGCAGCCCCCTGCTCAAGGCACCTCCGAGAGAGCTCCCTCCTCCCAGCTGCAGGGGCTGCATCCTTGGTGGTGGGGCAGGGGGGGACCCACCAGTGCAGGAGCCATCCTGCACCCCTCGAGGAGCTGCTCCCAAGTTAGTTTATTCTTGAAAGCCATTTCTGGCTTGCTCACTTCTCAAGAGCCCCAAGCCCCTCAGTTTAAGCAGATGGCCTCAGAAAAATATAAGTAAAAAAGAAAAAGCTGCGCCTTGGTGGACTAATGAAAGAGGCAGGTACTTGGAATGGCTGAGGCAGGTACGAGTCACACTTCACAGCCACTTTGCATTAATATTTTACAGCCTCTTTCTTTTCTTTTACACAAGCAAGGGCTTTTCTGCACCTCCACGGGACTGAGCTCATTTCACGGAAAGCAAGAATGCAACCAGGGCTTTTTCTGAGGTAGTTTTTTTTCCTCCTCTCTCTCCTCTATAAAACAAACATCTGCTCCAAATTTTCAGCTCGCTCTCTGAGCAAACTCTCTGAATTTTCTGACGTGTTTCAAGGCAAACAGATCAATTAGAAGCTGGCCTATAGCCCCCCAGCACATGAAGGTAAGAACACGAGACCCTTTTATATTAAAAAAAATAGTTAACACAGGAAACTAAAAAAAAATATAAATGCATAAAAGACAACTGACTAAAGGGATTAGCTCTACTTTGCTTTGGGTGATTAACAAAAAGAATAGAAAATTATTAGCACTCTTCCCATCACAGCAGACAGGCCCTCTGCAGAGTTGATTAGCAAGAAAGCAATGCATTGGTAATTAGAGCTGGCTAGAACCCTTTGGATAAAAACAAATATTAATTTAAAAAAATGCCCTTTTTTGGCACAAACGAGGACTGCATTTTTCAGTTTCAGTTTTGAAAAAGCACAGGGGAAGGAGGCGACCGCTTTCCAAAGGGAAAGGCTTCCCACACGGGGAAGCTTCCCCCCTCCTCCCCAGCCCTCAGCTCGTGGAGAGCCCCAGCGCCCTGGAGCAGGATGAAGAGCTTAACGAAGAGCAGGCACGGGTCCTGTCCAAGAGAAGAGGCTCTTCATCGGGAGCCCAGCTGGCTGCGGGCCCCGCGCCGCCCCCGCCGCGCTCACGGAGGGGAGATGTGGGGGACACACACGCCGACCATCCACACACAAAGGTCACTCTTTATGCAGCGCTCACAAAGCCCTACACAAGGGTCACAGAGCAGGGCACCACGACAGGGCTGTCACACCAGCACGGGCTCCCCCCTCCCGGCACCCCAGCACCTCCCAGCTCACGGGCAGCAGAGGCCGGGCAGGGTGGTGGCCAGCAAGGCTGGTTGGCTGCCTGAACATCTACAAGCATGTGTGGTGATGTCACCCAAGACCTTTAAGACCATCAAGTCCAACCATTTACCCAGCACTGCCAGGTCCACCACTAAACCATATCCCCAAGAGACACATCTACACAACCTCCTCCCCAGTCAGCATCCCCCTGGTCCAACCTCCCTGCTGTTAGGAGATGATGATGCACATGAAGGGCTTTGTCCTTAAGTGCCAAAAGTTCCTTCCAGAGGATGGCTCAGACCCTGCTTGCTTCAATAAATAACTTGAAATAAAGGATGGCCCATCACCTCAGGGCAAAGCAGTGTGGCCAGTGGAGAGATGAGAAGTATTGACAGACCAGCACGTGCAGATCCTGGGGTGATAACTGCTCTTGACATCTCCCACAGTGATGAGCCCTTCCCGGGCTGCAGCCAAAGGGGCTGTGCTCTTCCCAACAGGGTCAGTCATGGAGCCAAGTCCCCCAGCACTGCCCACCCCAGACAAACACTCATCTGCTTTCTGCACAGCCCACCAGGCACAGAGAAAGGAGCACAGATCCTCTGTGCTTGGTGTTCACAGAGACAGACACCTCTCCAGTACACGGCCCGTCACACAATGTGCCCCGAGTCCAAGACCTCTGTATGTGATACACTGTGGATACTCACTCGTTCTGAAATGGATAAAAACCCAGGATCACTCCTACTTAGACAACTAACTTGTGTGCAGGGTGGTCTGAAGCTCCCTGGTGGTCTCCGCGTCTCAAGAAACACATAAACATCCGTTACAGACCCATGAACATCACACACACAGTTTTTGACCTGAAAACCCTCAGACTTTGTCCAGTAGAGATGCTGTTCCAAGGGGATGAGCCAGGAGGGGAATACATCAGTGTATCTGCCACGTGAAGTGGAGCTATCACACACCTGGCTTTTCCCAGGCATCCTTTTTCTGCCCAGAAAGCACATCCAGATAAAAATAGGGAAGCTGGCCAAGAACCTAGTATTGCTGGCCATCGATCCCATGGCTTTGCCTTGCCTGCCTAGATACACAGTCACTATTTGTGTACACAAGTTGATATTTCCACCTAGAGCTCCCACACTTCTGTCCAGGAAGTGTTAAAGCAAAGCTCTGCTCCTCAGCCCTGTGAGGAAAGATGGGCAAGGGGATGGGTGCTGCTCAGGGTGTTGGGTGATACCTGAAGAGGGGACTGAGGACAGGGTGAGATGCTCAGGTGCAGAGAGGAGGCCATGGAGAAAGCATCCAGCATCAGAGAGATGGGGCTGAAGGCATGGCAGCTCCTCAGGCTGATGTTGCCTGTCTCCAGTGTGGCCCACCTTCCCCCTCGAGAGGGTCACACACGCTGTGGGAACACCACATGTGTTGGGAGGCACACAGAGGGAACCCAGAGCCCATGGGCACCATGTGGTCTGTAGACTGCAAGAAACTCCCCAGCACAAGCATCATTTGCTGTGCCTTAGTTTGAGAACACCTTAAGCCCAGGGTCAATAGACTGCCACTCTCTCCTCCCTCTCCCACTGCCTCACTGCTCCCAGAGGCCATTCTGGGAAAGGGATGGGGGAGCTTCACATCCTGGTGATGCTAAAGGAGCCCAAGGCTCCCTCCAGATCTGCCTGGAGACACCACTGGGCAAAAGGTAGAGGACTCTGAGGGTCTAAGGGCAAACAAAAGCCCCAAACTGGAAGCACCAGCATTTTATGGTCCTGCCACAGAGACGTGGCCATCATCTCCACATCCTTCCCTCACTGGAGTCCCTGGTACTAACAGCATCCCACCTTCCCACCCTGGGCCAGCAGCACTTGCCAGGAGAGACAACAGCCCCTCCTTGGCCTCGCTGTGCCCCAGTCACACCCTCAGCACAGGGAAGGCCAGCGCCAGCACTTACATCACGTTTCCTTCATTCACATCCCCTCTTCCTCACCTCCAGCACCAAACAGAGCCTGTCCTTGCGCTAGTGCATTTGGGGGTGGGAAGAGCCGTTTAAAAGAAAGAGCAGTAACCTGGGAAACCAACACCGACGTTAAAAGTTTCCCAGTGTGGGGCATCGCTGCTCTCGCCCCCTTTCCCACCCATCTTTGTGGTTTGACACTCAGGTTTCTTACGCACCCTTTCCCTTGCCCTCCTCATTCCAGAGGTCCCCATCCTGCGCGGGAACCCGGAGGCACCGCGGGGCTGCCGTACCAGCACCCACTGCGAGGAGGGGGTGCGGGACCGGCCCCACGCTCAGCTCACCCCGTGCCATCACCCCCGCGCAGATGTGCGGAGGGGAACGCGGAAGAGGACGGAACTACAATATTTTGGGTTGGTTTTCCTACTTTTTGCCTTTTCCGTTCCATCTCATCTGTTGCTCCGAGGTGCAACCGCAAAAGGGCTCACACCAGCCCTGCCTCCTCCCGAGGCTCCCTACGCCTTTCAGGTGCTGTTAGCCAAGGCACCACCCGGGAAAACACCTCGTTTATCCCAGGGGAAGTTCGGTGCCGAAGAAGGATGCGGAAAGTTGGGAGGCGGCGCTGGGCGGGGGCAGTGGCGGTACCGGCCGCGCATCCCCCGCACACCGCGCGGCCGGGGCCGGCCCCGGGCTGGGAGCCGGACCCCCCTGCGCCCCCCGGGCTGCCCGCGGGCAGATACTGAGCGCGGAGAGCCCGGGAGTTAATTCTTTTTCGTTTCCCCCTTCCTCCTCAGCCACCCAGCCCCCGCCGCCCCCCGAACGGCGGCTCCAGCCCCGCACCCATCGCCCCGAGGGACCGCGGCCCCTCTCGCCCCGCTCCCCGCCGCGCTCGCCCCCAGCCCCGCACTCACCGGCCCCCTCGACCTTCTCGGAGCCGCGGCTCCAGGTGACCTGCCGCGTCTCCAGCTTCACCTGGAAAGTTTTCCGCTCGGGTCGCTGCGACTTTTTGGAGTAGAAGAGGGTCATGACGGTGCCCACCTCCAGGCTGCGGCAGAGCTGCACCGCCTCCGCCTCGCTGGGCGCGCCGGGGCCGCCGCCCGGCCCGGCCGCCATCGGAGCGGCGAACAAAGGGGAGCGGGAGCGCCCGAGCCCCGCCGCGCCCCGCGCCGCTGCCGCCCGGAGGAGCGGGGAGAGCAGAGGGAGGAGGAGCGAGGAGGGAGGAGGGAGGGAAGGGGCGGGGGTGCGGGCGGGGCGGTCCCCGCGCCGGGGGCGGGCGGGACGCGCAGCGCGGGGGGTCTGCGGGGGGCACGGAGCGGGGTGATACCGACTGGGGGTCTCGGGCGACAGAGCACCCCGCGGGGTGGCCCGCCTGGGCAGGGGGCAGTGTGGACCCCGCTTGCCGGTGCTACAGACCCCCCAGCGTGCCTGGGGTACCGGGGTGCCCTGCACCCCATGGCACACCCAGGTACCGGGGTGCCCGGCTCCCCTGAGCACACCCAAGTACCGGGGTGCCCTGCTCCCCCGAGCACGCCTGGGTGCCACCCTGCACCCCCCAAGGAGGGCTCCCAGGTCCCCGGGGTGCCGCTCACCCCACGACACGGCGGGGCCCCAGCACCCACCGCAGGGTTTGCGTGGCACGTGCGGGGGCCCGGCGCTGCATCCCGGTGGCTTTTCCTGCAGACAGAGCCCTCGCTGTGGCTGCCGCTGGCGCCATGGGGCGGCTTCCCGGTGGAGCCCCGTCTGCGTTTGCAGTTTCCTCCGCACAGATCCCGGCTGGATGTGTGTTGACATGAAAAGCCGGATGGGGCTTGCGGGGCAGCCTGTGGCATCCTGGCCCTGGGGGACGTGTAGGGAGCCGTGGGTCTCTAGACGGTCTTCAGCCCCTCTCTGGCCCCGGCTGGAGACCACACAAAAGCAGGGTTAGTGAGGGGATAAGTGGTTGAATTGGGAAGCGTTTCAGAGCAGTTTGCTCCATTCATGTGGTTAAAGCCTGCAATTTCCCTTTCTGTGTGCCACTGGCCTTCCTCCCTGTGCCCTCCGCCCCACCAGGACACCCCAGGACACGCTGGGCACCCAGGTGTCCCGGGCTGGGGAGAGAGTCCAGTGGCATCTCTGACCCTGAGAGGCGATGACTGCCAAGGGCAAGCACAGCCCTGCTGCAGGTGAGGTTGGAGGGGTTGTACCCCACATAGAAATGCACAGGTATGTGATATATGTGTATGTGTACAATATAAACACACACACACACACACACACGTGTGTCCACAGGGCCAGGGCAAGGCAGCCTGTGCTGAGCAGCCCTTATCTCACATCCCAGCTCATGGGTGGGCCTGGAAGGGGCATCATATTCTAAGTGAGGGGCCCCCATCCCCATGTGCACCCCAATAAAAATGAGCAGCTCCCTCTGTCCCTGCTGCTCCACTCGCCTCCAAAGGGACACGCTGGACACACACACGCACACACACATGCACACACATGTGCACACTCACGAGGAGCCCTACAAGGTTGTTTAGGATCCCACCTAGTGTCTGGGCAGCAAAAAGGCAAGGACAGACCAGGGTAAGAACCTAAACCTGCCCTGATAGAAACAAGCAGTGTATGACAGCACTGTAAGGGCTGACAGGACGCTGGGGACGTGCTCAGCTGAGCCAGAGCCACTGGAGTCTGTGCTTGGTGTTGGCACAGGACTCTCAGCACATTCTCTCCGGGGTGAGCTGCCGTGGAAGTCGCTCCTGGCTTGTGGAATGGCCTCGCTCGGGACCGGCAGGAAGCAGCCGGCTCCCAGTGGTCTTAAAATAGCTGAGCATTATGGGCACACCCTTGTTTTTGAGGGCAAAACCTGAGAAGGGAGCACGGCCGTCGAAGAAACAGAAGAGGTAACTCCCTCCCTCCCAAATCCTGCCTGTTGTGCTGAAGGAGAGCACCCAGCCCGGCGTGTCCCCGGCTCCGGAGCACTGCCTGGCTGGGGCTGCTGCCTGCAGGATGTGGTTTGCAATGGGGTGTCTGCAATGGATATTTTTTCTTCTGCAGGTTTGACTAATCACCTTTTAGCCTTGCATTAGCTCTCCATGTCTGAGATGCTGCACACCAAGGAGTTTCATCATTTAATTTGACAGCACATGAAACCACCTTTGTGTGCCTGCTGCCTGCCAGCTCTGTTTAGTGGTCCCAGCTCCTGTATCTGCCAGGCCATGGGAAATCACGCTCCACCCCTCAGGGCAGCAAAAACTTCCATTACATTCCTGTTTTTAATTCCCTGGATTGTGTTCATCGTGTGGCTGTGAAGGGCTGGGGGTTCTGCAATCTCCCCTTGCAAACACCTTTGGGGAAAAGGGGATTTCCCCCTCTGAGTGGCCCCAGCACCTTCCCCCATCACAGTTCCGAATCACGGGATGCCATCCCCCATATCCTGCAGGATTCATGGAGCAGCTGCATCCTCCCACCAGGAACAGGCTAACAGCCAGGTGACCTCTGGCTTAAGGACAGCCCCCGGCCATGCTCAAGGGCTGGGGACCAAAATCCAGGGCAAGAGCACTCTGAGGCCACCCCACAGACAAGTGTGGGAGTCCCTGCAGCCCAGTATCCCTCTGACACCAATGTCTGGGAATGGACACGTCTCTCTCCTGCCCTGGGGACCATTCATTGAGAGAAGGTGCCCGATCCTCATCCGAGCAAGGGGTGCTTGGCATCTTGCAACCCCTGGGAGAGGTGCCCCACTCCAGGTTATTTATTCATTCCTGCCTGCTCCGCATTGCCTGGGGTGGGTGAACGTGACATCAGCCCGTGAGCTGAGAAAACCACCATCAGGGAAGAGCTTCCCTGGTGCTGCAGGCAGCAGGATCTGGAAAACCAGCAGGGAAGGCGGTGCGGAGTCCCCTCCTGGCCGGGCTGGTGTTGGCAGACGCAGAGCAGTGTTTTGCCGGGGATGGAAAGCAGACCCGCCTGGGGCTGTGGAGCTGCTGCGGATGCTGGCGGAGAGCCCGCCCCGTGCACGCTCTCCGAGGAGCTGCTGGGCAAAGCTGTGCCCGCAGGCAGGGCTGCCTCCCCCACACCCTCCTGCCCCTCACAGGCCCTGCAAGATCCCTCTGGATTACAACTGGCACCTGATGGGAAACCCACTGCAGCTCCAGGTTCCCTTTCCCCGCTCCCTCACGTTGCATGGGGAGCACAGGCTTTTTTAATATCCCGAGTCCACCTGGTTTCAATTTTCAACCCTGGAATCCTGTAAGACTTCAAGGGGGATGGGGCTGCATCCTGCAGGGTTTGCAGCCTCCCCCTGGCTGTCACGGCCTGTCCATGGGCTCACAATGCACAAGATCCAGTTTCAACCTACATTTTGCCCCCTCCTCTGGCCACATCACCGCTGCCTCAGCTTCCCTGGCTGCCAGACACAAGCCTTGTCGTGGGGCAGGAAAGCAGGACTGGTGTGGTGACACTGGGGCAGGCGAGGACGGGCACTGCAGTGCTGGGATAAAAAACGGGATGTGGCATGTCCGTGGCCATTTCCCTGTTTGCACAGTGAGTCAATGGGGTCTGGGAATTGTCCATGGAAAGTGTGGGGTGTGTGGTCCTCACCCTGCTGTGCCACAGGCAAAACCACAGATTAAACCCTCCTGGGGTCCCTGCCCGGGACAGAGCCAGCAGGGGATGAGTGCCTGTGCTCCCGGTGTCCGCAGGGAGCCGGGCACATTTCCAAGGGCCGCTTTTGCACCAACATACTTTTCCTTGCTGACAGGGAGAGGCACAGCACGCTCCAGCCTGGGACATCAGGCTGGCCTCACACCTCCAGGCCCGGCCAGGGCACTCTGCCATGCCCAGGGAGAAAGCGGATCTGCCAGCAGCGACGCTGGGGTGGAAGATCCCTTCTGTGGGAGCACATCCCTGCCCATTCCATTCAACATTTCCCTGCTCAGCGGTGCACGGTATGGGAATTTAATTCGGCCAGGTCTGACTGAGGCTGTATAAATAGAAAGGATATTTTTACAGGCTGCATTGTTCCAGGCACGGGCAGGTCGGGAGCACAATGAGCCCCTTTCCCTCTCCGCTGGCATTTTCTCGGCTGCACCTTGGAAAGGCCCCAGAGAGTAAACGGCGCTGCTGCCAAACGCGAGTTTGTGCAGCCACAACAAAGCGCCTCAAAGATCGCAGCGGGCAGCAGGAAGCCCGGCTCGGGGCTGGCTGCCCAGAGGCTCCTCAGCTGGCTCAGCCACACTCGGGGCTTTGGGAGCCCACCCCCAGCACTGGGGTCACAGGGAGGTCCTTGTGGAGGAGCCAGGGATCTGCTCCAGGATCCTAAAGGACACCAGGCCTGGGCTGCTCTCAATGCCAAGGAGATGGAATCATCCCTCAGCCTCACTGTCCATGTCCTTGCCCAGCCTCCTGCCCTTCCCAGCCACGTGCCTGAGGATCTGGCTACAGGACCACACAACCGACCACAGAGCCCCCGTGACACCACACAGGCAGCAGTGAGAGCTACTTGAGAAACAAGGGCAGCTTTGGCAGCTGTGGAAAGCATCATCCCTTGCCAGAGCCACGGCCAGGTGATGCCTTTCAGATCCCTGGCATCATAAACCCACACTGTTCCCAACAAAACCCTGATGAAGACACAACTCCTGGGTCACTGCCAACCCACCTGGCCCTTGCCCTGGCCTCAGCATCCCCTGCTGTACAAGGTGCCCATCCCATCACCTCCTCCAGCACAGCAGCCACGGGGACCTCACAGCCCAGGGCTGGAGGTGAAAGAACACACAGACACCAACACTCAGTTAAGTTGTAGGAATTTATTTTAAATAACCTACAGTTGATTAAAAGGGAATTCATGATAAAAATAGAAGATACTTGTTGAGGAAAGGCTGCAGGAAATGGTCTTGCACACACACTAAGCTAACAATGCCTCTAAGACTAATGATTATAGCAAAAAAAGGTTTCACATTAAAATTCTGCCTTTTTAAATTTTTTAAAATTTTTTTACACAATTACAAAAGAAAAAAATAAAAGCCCTAAAATCTTGATTATTTTCCTTTTTGGACCAATGCTCATTTCCCTCGAAATTCATTGACCTGTGAAACTTCTTTTTACACAATAAAATCTTTCAAGTAAAAGAGGGGAGTGGGGCTTAGAAAAAAAGGGGGGAAAAAGGTAAAACAGTCTGACAAACCT